AATAGGGCTTGACAGAGTTTGTCTAAGTCTGTATTGTTGGGCTTACTTACATTTCGAGTGAAAGTGTTGGGTGAAGAAATTCGAAGGTCGGTTCCAACAGAAGACGACGGCGGATTTCTCTTGACCAACTGTCGTTTGCCTTTACTGGAACGTTCATGCTGACGCTGTTTCCGAGGCAATCCTCTTCGATTCCAGTGAAAAGGTGCTAAGCTTTCGTCCGTCATATGACGGACATCATCAGAGCGAGGTAACATCGTCACAACACTCACCGGCAAATCCTTAAAAAGTACAAGAGGAACTGAGTATAGGCTTACTACCCTATCCCTATCGTCGTCTGTAGCAGTTTATGCCTTGAATACAGAACCATCAAAATTTGCCCTGGTCGGCTTGGTCTTGCCTTGTCCTATTATACCATAGCCAAGCAATTTATTGTCATGCCGCTTATTTATCAGATCCCCGAACCTCTGCGACTTCGGATCGTTCAAGCTCTGGAGTTTTTGATAATCATCCAAAGTGGGTACCCTACCTACATCCTTCGATAATCTAGACTTGAGATCTATGGACTTAAATAGCTTATGCCTCTCAGTCTCGTAACTGTTATCTGATTTCTGGATGGAGACGTGGTAAAGAATTTGATTAACTGTGTCCGAATGGCACTTCCTCATTAGATTGCAGAGTCGGGGAGCGATACCATACTTTTTGCAGCAATTCAAAAGGGTCAAATGGCAGGATTGAGGTGCAATTGACTTCTTTGTCCGACTGTAATCGGTGCACTGTTTGGTAATCTTATTTCTATAGTTTAATCGGAGATATGAATACCAAGATGGTGTGGACTTTTGTGTTTGACCTTGTTTCCGCAACTTGGTCATATTGGTAGGAAGATTTAGAGGAAATCACTTGGTCCAGAGTCCATTGTATGCATAATTTTTTCCAAAGTCGGACCATGAACGTGGTACATTCTCAGACGTTTCACTGGCATCGTCAAGGAGTCTTGCCATTCTTAATACCATACAAGAACTCATCAAAGAGACAAGTAAAGCCAAATGTGACCAAATGTGTACTAAACAATTGTGGTATCTCTTCTTCTGCTCTGGTCTATTCACCTTCCCTATATCCTCGTATCATGGCACCACTGGAGACAAACTGGGGACTTAAGCCCCTGAATGACTTACGATGGCCTTGTCTCTTGTCTGCCAGCCCACAAATGTTGTGCGTCAACATTAAAGCTGATCAAACCAAGCAATAACACAACATTTGTGGGTTTACACACAAGAGACTAGAGCATAAAAAGTCATACACATGTTATTAGGCATAGCAACAGGATAGACGCGGCGAAGACTGGAGCTAGTTGGCGGAAAGTAGGTTTTACCAGAGACGTGGTCCATGTAGCAAAGGTTTGACAATAAGAATTATTCAGCAATTTAGCCTCAATTTAGTCTCCCAGAAGCAGTATGGCAAATAACGCCTCGAGTAGCACAGATGGGGTGGCAGGGGTCGAGTGAAATATTTGAACCAGCGAGATAGAAGACGGATCCTATGCTGCAAGAGGGAGACTCTGATAAGACCTAGGGAAGAAGGATTGCGTAACGATATGGCAGATTCTGATCCACATTCCCAGCACAAGGTTGAAGGGGGGTGAGAATACCAGCGTGGAGTGTGGAGGGTTCACATGAAAGCCGCTCAAAATGGCACATCACACAACATTTAAAAATACAAGGTAAAAATAGTGATAATGAAGGCGTGATTCGAGGATATAGAAGTGAATAACCCATGACAGAAGGGGAGATACCACAACTGTTTAGCACACATTTGGTCAAAGTATCGGCTTCACTTGTCTCTGAAGAGTTGTCGTGTGGTGCTAAGAATGGCGATACTCACTGACGATGCCGATTACGATGCCGGTGAAACGTTTGGCAATGTACCACGTTACGGTCCTACTCTGGAAATGATGATACATACAATGGACTCCGGACTAGGTTCGTTCCTCTAAGTCTTCCTACCAATATGACCAAGTTACAAAAACAAGGTCAAACAACTTATATACAACGAAAGGAGACTGCGACGACACAAAAGGCTACAACATCTTGTAGATATAGTCTACATATACGACATTTAGCGAGTTTTTCTTATTCTTAAGCTTGAGTATGGTTGTAAGAATTGAACCCCATTCATATGTCGTTCGTTAATTGAAGAAAGAAAGCTTCAAAGTTTTATCCTGAGTTTAAAGAGATTGCCTCGCGGCTATTGTCAGCCAGAAGGTGCCAGTAAAGCAAAGTAGCAGATGGCCGAGAGGAATCCGCCGTCATCTTCTGGTGAGATCTATCTTCGAATATTTTCCCCACATACTTTCTCTCGAAATGGAAATGAGCGCATCATTCAGGAAACATAACAACAATTTTAATGTTAACGAAGAAAAGTTTGGTTTCGAGGAATCTCTTGTTTCATAATTGTTGGGATTACTTCCATTTCGAGTAGA